GCCCGCAGTATTACCGCGACTCGTCACCATGCGACCCAAGCACAGCACGGTCGGAGCCGATGGTGGGGAAATATGAATGCTGCAGCTCACTGGGCTGCAGCACGGCTCGCCCAGAGCCCGTTCGTCGCAGAGGCCCCCTGCAGACCAGGATGGAGGATTTGTCCTAATGAAGCTGCGTGACCTGATGAAGCTTCTCCACGAGAAGCTCGATGATGGCCTCCATACTATGAGCCCGAAAAACCATCCTGACGACATTCCTTCGTCATTGCAAGGAAGTTGCCCATGCGTCGGACGAGGCCCTCAACGCCTTTTTGCGGAGAGGGCTGGTGAGATTCCAAGGGTTATCATCGGCGGTCCTCCTCACCGTCAAAGCTCAAGCCTGTCGGGCAAATCTCTGCCAGCCCCATCCATTATTCCTCCATGCATGTTTTTCCAGCTTAAGATCAGTGTTCCAGAAGCTCTTCGGACAGCAGGCCATGCAGTGGACACACACACACACACACGTTACGTAACTTAGACGAGTTTGTACACAAGATCGCTTCCAATAGCTGTGGGGAACATTTTGGCGCCATCAAGCTGGACATCGAGGACTCTATTTGAGTTCGACCATTAGCAAGTCGTGGAACCAATTGAGGCGACATTCATGGAACGTGAACGGACGGTATTGAGGTGTCCTCCTGTTCCTGTTGTCCCACCCGTATGCTCGTTGCGATCCCTTCCCGAACGATCCTTAGAGAGATGCTCTGGGATCCGGCATTGGGCGGCGACCCCCTGGAATCATGTGAGGTGTACCTGTACCACCCAGCGGAAAGACAGTTCGCAGTCAACACACAGGTCGCGTCACAGCTCGGCATTTTGGAGTACATCCGATGTCGCGACGACATAATGATGACCGCAGCTTGGGCCATCGGATTTACTCGATGCATGCAGCAACCCAAACACTATGTAAAGGATGATTACGTCGTCGAGGTTGACGTGGTCAACTGACGACACATAAGCATGCTAGAGGTGACATTATTCAAGGGCCCGCGCTTCAGGGCAACGAGCATCTTACATATGAAGCCGTATTTGGAGTCATCTGGCCAAAAGGTCCCGCCAGGCTCGTTTTCTCTTCATGCCCCGCCGGTTCACAGAGGCTAGCCACGGGCACAAGTCCAACGGCTGAGAGCTAGCGCGTCGGGCCCGAATTCACTCGGCAGAGCAGTATCCAAGACGATATCATGATGTTCCTGTCATAGCATTCATCCTGCTGTGATAATGAAGGCTGCGAGTGTGACTTTGAGCCCACACCGAAACGCCCAATTTCCACCCCCCGCAGGGGAAGCATACTTGGGACCCGTCGCCCATACCACAGGCTCATATATACTTCGAGCCTAGCTGGGATCATGAAGGAAACTGTCCATAGATGGCAGCCTATCATTAGTAATGCCCTCGGAGCAGGAGGCTCCAATATGAGAGTAGCGTGGTTACAGGGTGGGCGAAGCCTCCCCACCTGCGCGCGCAAAGGTTCGCAGTAGAAGTTGGTTGGAGGGACGAGCAGTAGCAGCAGCAGCAGCAGCAGCAGTAGTAGTGGTAGTAGTAGTTGTTGTTGGAGTAGTAGGACTAGTAGGAGTAGTAGTAGTAGTAGTAGTACTAACTACTACTACTACTACTACTACTACTACTACTACTACTACTACCTACTACTTACTAGTACTACTAGGTAGTACTGTACTAGTATAGTAGTAGTAGTAGTAGTAGTAGTAGTAGTAGTAGTAGTAGTAGTAGTAGAGTAGTAGTATTAGTAGTAGTAGTAGTAGTAGTAGTGTAGTGGTAGTGGTAGTGGTAGTGTAGTGTAATAGTGGTAGTGGTTAGTGTAGTACTAGTAACATTACTAGCAGTTGCAGTAGTAGTGATAGCAGCAGTAGTACAAATAATATAGTAATGGTAGTAGTAGCAGCAGCAGTAGTAGTAATAGTAGCAGTAGCATAGTAGTAGTAATAGTGGCCGTACTCGTACGATTAATACCAGTACTAGTACTAGGACGAGTACTAGTACTAGTAGTAGTAGTAGTAGTAGTAGTAGTAGTAGTAGTTGGTAGGTAGGTGGTGGTGGTGGTGGTGGTGGTGGTGGTGGTGGTGGTGGTGGTGGTGGTGGTGGTGGTGGTAGTAGTAGTAGTAGTAGTATGAGTAGTAGTAGTAGTAGTAGTAGTAGTAGTAGTAGTAGTAGTAGTAGTAGTGGTAGTGGTAGTAGGAGTAGCAATAGTAGTAGCAGTAGTCGTAGTAGCAGTAGTAGTAGTACGCGTAAGAGTAGTCTGTGTACTCGTAGTAGTGGCAGTAGCACAAAAAGATAATACTGGCACTAATGGAAACAATCGTCATGATAGTAGCAGTAGTAACAGTAATGGCCGTAGTGGTACCAGTACTAGTTGAAGTAGTAGTTGTAGTAGTAAATGGTACGAATAACAGTAGTAGTAGTCACTAGTAGTAGTGGCAGTAGTAGTACTCAGAATAACAGTACTAGTACTAGTACAAGTACTAGCAGTAGCAGTAGAAGTAGTAATCGTATTGACAGTAGTAGAAGAAGTAGTAGTAGTAGTAGTAGTAGTAGTAGTAGTAGGTAGTAGGTAGTATCTAGTAGGTAGTAGGTAGTAGGTACTAGCTAGTAGGAAGCAGGTAGTAGGTAGTAGGTAGTTAGTGATAGTAGGTAGTAGGTAGTAGGTAGTAGGTAGTAGGTAGTAGGTAGTAGGTAGTAGGTAGTAGGTAATGGGTAGTTGTTGTAGTAGTAGTAGTAGTAGTAGTAGCAGTAGTAGTAGTAGTAGTCGTAGTAGTAGTAGTAGTAGTAGTACTAGTAGTAGTAGTGGTGGTAGTGGTAGTAATAGTAGAAGTAGTAGCAGTAGTAGTAGTAGTAGTAGTAGTAGTACTAGTAGTAGTAGTAGTAGTAGTAGTCGTCGTAGTAGTCGTAGCAGTAGTAGTAGTAGTAGTAGTAGTAGTAGTAGTGGTAGTAGTAGTAGTAGTAGTAGTAGTAGTAGTAATAGTAATGGTAGTAGTAGTAGTAGTAGTAGTAGTAGTAGTAGAAGAAGTAGAAGTAGCCGTAGAAGTAGAAGTCAAAGTAGAAGTAGAAGTAATAGCAGCATATCGCATATAACATATTTTTGTTTACAGCACTGCGCTGGTGCTCACAGCACCCATGGCCCACTCTCCAAAAGAGTGCCGGGCAGCAGTTCTGTCGGGACAGAGCTAACATTCGAGCCAGGTGAGGATGTGGAGGAAAAGAAGGAGGGAGGAGGAGGAGGAGGAGGAGGAGGAGGAGGAGGAGAGGAAGGAGGAGGAGAGGAGGGGGAGGAGGGAAGAGGGAGGGAGGAGGGAGAGGGAGAGGAAAAGGATGAGGAGGAGGTGGAGGAGGAGGGGAAAGGGAGAAGCGAGGAGGAGGAAAGGAGGAGGAGGAAAGGAGGAGGGAGGAGGGAGGAGGGAGGAGGGAGGAGGAAAGGAGGAGGGAGGAGGGACGAGGGACGAGGAGGAGGAGGAGGAAATGAGTAGGAGGAGGAAAGGAGGAGGAAAGGAGGAGGACGAGGAGGAGGAGGGGGAGGAGTGGGAGGGGGAAGAGGAAAAGGAGGAGGAGGGAGAGGGAGGAGAAGGAGCAGGAGAGGAAGGTCGGTGGAGGAAGGGATGGGGAGGAGGAGGGGGGACAGAAAGGAGGAGAAAGAGGAGGAGGAGGAGGAGGAGACGAGCGTAGCAGAACGTCCTGAGGAGAAGGAGGAGGAGGAAGAAGGGAAAGGGGAAAGGGAGGGTGGGAAGCAGGAGAGCAGGGAGAGAGGAGAGCGCAGGCCCGGCGGCGAGCGAGGGGCGGAAACGGGAAGGAGAAAGCCTGCACTGCTCAGAGGGCGGCGGGGCTCGCCTCAGAAGCCCTCGCGCCTTCTGGGGGTGCTTTGCTGTCTCTTCGGGGAAGGCTTAGCCTTAGGTCGGGCGTGTCCGCCTACAAGCGGATTTTGGACGACAACGATTTTACCAAACACCAAAAAAAAAAGAAAAAAAAACATCCCCAGACTATTTTAAACTATTTTTGAATACTCCTCCTGTAGAGGGACACGCCCGACTTAAGCTTTGCCAACGAGCCTCCTAAGGAGGCCCGCTCCCCTTCTCGCTCTCCCCCTCCCGCGCTCGCCGCCGAGCAAAGGCCGGCGCCCGCGCCTGTCATCACCATGGGCACCTCCGGCTCCCCGAACTCGAAGGTGCCCGGAGAGATGGAGCAGTCGACGGAGAGCACGCCCGAGGCCTTGTCGGTGTCCATGCGCTCGAAGTAGTCCGTGCAGGAGCCGACCTCACGCAGCGCGGCCACGAGGGGGGGAGAGCCGCCAGAGGAGGGAGGGAGGGGGAGGGAGGGAGGGATGGAGGGAGGGAGGGAGGGAGGGAGGGGGGGAGGGAGGGAGGAGGAGGAGGAGGAGGAGGAGGAGGGGGGGAGAGGAGGAGGAGGAGGAGGAGGAGGAGGAGAAGGGAGGAGGGGCCTTCTCCTCCCCCTTGTTGTTCTCGAACGTGTTGGTGATGACGGTGAGCTCGATGCTGCCAGGGGTGGCGCGCGTCGACGAAGCGATGGTATATAACCGCGGCTTGATCCCAGGCAGCATGGTGATCAGCTGGTTCAGGTCTGGCTTGGCCGACGGGAACTTCTGCAGCACCTCTGGGTAAACCAAAAACTGCACCAGCGCAGACTGTTCTGAGCTCCGCGCGGGCTTCCTGCATCGGCGCCGGAGGCGCCGCCAGGGGGGCCCAGCGCAGGTCCGAGAAATTCGCGCGGAGCTCCGAAAGCAGATATTCACGTCGTCATTATGATGTTCCGACCTACTTTAGCCTTGATCACCATAACGAAGTACGAGCACCAAGAAAGTGCCCTGATTAACTGGAAGGATTTCGCGTGCCTGGCCCTGGAAGACGATATTCGTTCGGCACGTCGCCAGCGTGTCGAGCAGACCCTGTTTCGATGCTTTTCTGGGCACTCGGAAAGCCATCTGTTTCTCTTCGCACCTCTGCGAAGGTGAGCGCCGCGCCAGAGATCTCCTCCGTGAAGGCATCCTTGCCGGCGTCGGAGACGAGGAACTCCAGGCGATCCCTGTCCACGCCCGGCGGCGCCACCTTGGCCATGCCCTTGAGGAAGTTCTTGCTCGGGCGCCCGAAGATGTCCAGGAGCTCCGTGAAGAGGGTGGCCACCTGAGGGGAACCGCGCGCGCGCCCGGCGGAGGCCACCGCACGCGAGCCCCATCGGGGGGCGCCCAAGAAGAGGGGCGACGTCCCAGCTCGTGGCCCGAGGCGCGTGCGCGGCCAGGGAAATGCCAAGGGAAAGAGTCAGAGAAGGCGAGGGGTCCACGAAATAATCTGGGGAGATCGACTGGCCCTGGCCAAAGAGTCCACCTCCCCAGTCGTCCCCCCCGTGGGCCGACCCCGGCCCCTGCAGGTCAGGCTTCTGAAGCGCCAGCCGGGGTGCAGAGTCTGGAGGGCGCCTGCAGCCAGGTGAACCCTGGCGGGGGTGTCCTACACCCTGCGAAATGCTCAAGAAATCATGGGTTGAGAAATTCATAGTCTCGGAACTGGAACAAAAACCCAACATGTCTATCAAAATCTTGAGATTTACATTGAAACGTTAAGAATAATCGAGACTCTGGCCGAAAACTTAAGTTTCCTTAAGCGTCGCCTAAGGTGTACGCCGTCGTCGGTCAGACCAGAAGGGGCAGGGTGCGCGAGCGTGCGCAGACGGCTTCTGCTCAAGACATCGGCGTCCGGGCATCTCCTGGGGCGAGCTCTGGCCAGAATCTCCGGGCGGATCCGGCAGAGAGGCCTCCAGATGCGTGCGGGGGGCCAACACGAAATCCGAAATGTCAAAAGACTTCAGGAATCCGGGGATCCCTGGACCCTCGACCCACCCTTTCCTCAAGGGCACGCTGTCGTCCTGGATCCGCTTTGGGGTGTCCCGGGGAGACGACAACGGGATCTCCTGGAGCCCGAACTCGGCGAGAAGCGCCGGGACTGAAGAGCTCCCTCCGCCCAAACCCCGGGCCAGGACGCCCCCCCCTCTTCCTGTCGGGGAGACGTAAGACTCGGGTACGGGGGACTCGGATTGGCCTGACGGGGGCCATCATAAAAATGACGAGACCCAATCTGAAACTTGACGCGGGCTCCCGCTGCAGACGCCCCACGAAAACGGGACCGTCCAATCCGGGACGCGCTCGCCAAAAAAACAAAATCGGCCGACCCGAGTTCCGGCTCACTCGAGTCCTGCGCCTCCCCGACCCCGGCGACGCGACCTTGAAGGGGCCGCTCAGGCGCTCGGCCTTCACGCCGGCGTTGGCGCCCTCCAGGGGCGTGGCCGTGAAGCACTGGTCGGCGTCCAGGCCGTAGGCGGCGAGGAACTCGCGCACGCGCGCCTCTGGCGTTAAGTCGGGCGTGTCCCCCTACACGGATTTTTTCGACGAAAAATCAAAGATAGTTTGGGGACTATTTTTTGAGTATTGTTTGACCTTTTTGGGGTATTTTTGGGGTATTTATGATTTTTCGTCGAAAATCCCCCTGTAGGGGGACAGGCCCGACTTAACTCTGGCGCTCCGCGGCTCGAGCACGCACGGCCCCTCGGGGGCCGGCGGCGGCCTTCGCCGCCCGTCGGCGGCCTGCGGCGGCCTTCGGCGGGGCCTGCGGGGGCCGTCGGCGGCCTGCGGCGGCCTGCGGCGGCCTGCGGCGGCCACCGCACCGAGGCTGTCGGCGGCCTGCGGCGCCCGTCGGCGGCCCGCTGGAGGAGGCGGTGCTCCTTCCCCCGAGGCGCGCCACGGGAGAAGGCACGGGGGCGGCCAAGGGGGGGGGGAGGTCGCTTTTTTTTTGTACTGGTACTGCTAGTGATACTGCGGCTGGACGAGCCAGTCGAGCCTCCGCTCAGGCCACCAAGCAGGATGCCGAGGCAGCCCCACGCTGTAACGGGGCAGCCCTCAATCGGGGGGGGGGATCTCAGGGCGGGGGCCACGGCGTCTCCCCAGATCTCATGGCGCCTTCTTGTTCCGATGTGTCCCCTGGCCGCCCCCCCTTGGGCCGCGCACACGCCGCCAGCCATGATCTGCGCGGCGGCCATGAAGGGAGTGTCCAAGAGAGGGGGGCGCAGATCATGGCCGGCGGCATGTGGGGGGCCAGAGGACGGGGGGGGCCAGGGACGTATTGACATAAGAAGCGGCGCCATGAAATCTGGGGAGATATCATGGCCCCAGCCATGATATCCACCCCCTCTTGTCATCAGCCCCCTCTTGGCCGCCCCCGAAAAGGGGAGGCTCGAGCTACTTTTTACGTCGCGGCGCGGCAGAGGCAGTCTGCACGCGCGCTCGGGCAAGCCAGGAGACGGCAGGCGCTGACTGGCTGCAGGGGGCCTTGGAAGGCCCTGTCGACACTCTGCGAGCGGGGCGCGGCCAGCGAAAGCGGCCAGGGATGGGCGGATGGGGGGCAAGATGCAAGGGTGCTCTTGGCCTCACTGTGCGGGTTGACACTGAAAAGAGTGCTTTCCGTTTTCGTTTTGCTCTCGTTTTCTCTCGTTCTGTCTTCGTTCCGCCCTCTGCTGCAAGACGAGATCAACACGAAAACAGTTCACGAGATAGAGAAACCACCGTTTAGGTGGCGCCATGGGATAAGAGGAGGAGGACCGAGGACCAAAACGAAGCCAGGACGAGGAGCAAATCAGGTGAGGACAAATCGGGAAGCTCCGAGATCTTGCGGCTCTGGAGGATGACTCGGGCGCCGCGGCCTTCTCGGAGCGTTTGGAACGCCCTGAGAGCGTTCCAGAACGCTCTGGAACGGATTTGTCATCGTCTCAGCCCCGTCCGAAGAAAGAGGAGGAAGAGGAGGAGGAGGAGGATGTGCATTATTATCCATGTCGGGGTCTCCAGGAGGCTTCTCGTCGCCATGGCCAATCAGCCGAATGATTATGGCCAAGACGCACTCATGTAGAGGACGGGGGGGCTGAGCCAAGCGTGAAACCAACGAGCAAGTTGCTCACGCCTGAGCTTTTTGAACACACCTGAGAGCAATCTCGCTGCCACGTGGTACTGCGCATGATTGCGTATACCGTCACGGGAGCCACCGTCACGGGAACTGCTGGAGACATGCGTTGGCGGCGCGCACAAGGGGGTAGGGGGAGAGGGGAAGGTTTCTTAGCAGGAGCCCGTTTCTTAGAAGGCGCTAGCCCTACATCTACAGACAAGGCACGCGCCTTCTGAAAAGCAGGGGTGCTTCTACGAAGCTCGTCGTCGTCGTCGTCGTCTCCTCCCTCCTCCCTCCTCCATCCTCCCTCCTCCCTCCTTCCCCCTCCCTCCTCTTCCCCTCTCCCCCATACCCCCCTCTGCGCGTGGCCGAATGCGTGCACGCAAGCGTGCATGCTGTGCCTCGTCGTTTTTCCAGTGCACTGCCAGCGCGTCGCCGAGCAGGTAGGGCACGTCGAGGTTGGGGTCGTCGACCTTGCTGCGGCGCCCCGATCTTCCCGAGGTGGTGTTTGGCTTCGGGGGGGGGCCTTCCCGTGGCCACGGCTGGACGCCTCTCGGAGAGCTGGCCAGGGTGATCCTGGAGTTGGGTCGGGGATGCCCTCCTACTGGCGGATTCTGGAAGAGAGATAAGACATAGTCAAACGAATAAGCAGACATGGTCAAGAGGGCACGAAAAACAGTCCCCTGACCTTTCTCCGGCTATTCTCGAATAGTCCTCCTGTAGAGGGGCGCGCCCGACTTAGTCCTGGGGAGGGGTCCAGGGGCCAGGCGCGAGCGGCATTAGAGGAATGAAGAACGCCCTGACGATAAACTCTCGGTGGTCCGCGCCGATTTCTTGGCTCTGCGCTGAACGGGCGGGGCGCGCCAGGGGCGACGCCGCAGGCGCCGCCAGGGGGCTCCAGAGCCGATCCGAGGACCCCGCAGGGAGCTCCGAGAGCTCACCTCTGTGCCGCGCTCTGCTCCTCGAGCGCGCCGAGCTCCGCGCGGGCGGGCGCCCAGAGAGGCAGACCTGGCCGGCCTCGGCCGGCCCCCCCCCCCAGAGGCTGGGGCACGGCGCCCGGGCGCCGCCTCCGAGGGGCGCCCCCTCCGGGTGCTGACGCCGCCCCCGCAACAAAACGGAGGAGCCGAAAATTGTTTTTTTTCGCCGGGCCTACGATACAAACATCGAATGGTTGTCGAATCCCCGACAACGCTGCGCATTTCTGAGAGGGTCGCCGAAGAACAAACAACGCTGGGGTAAAACAACTCTGCCGTCGATCCCCTGCTCGAGAAGCGTGCCTGGAAAAGCCGCTTGCACAGGGCGGGGACGAGCCCCCCTGGGCAAGAAGCGACGGCGCAGGGACGGGGGAGGAGGAGGAGGAGGAGGAGGAGGAGGAGGAGCGAGCGAGCGACCTCGGCAGCAGTTCGGCTTCGACGCGCGTGGGCACGAGCCTACGAGATTTGGGCGCCGATCAGCGTCCAGAATTGTTACTGGTTCAGTCTTTGGGCGAGGCGGTAGGGCGCCTGAGGGAGCCCGTGGGGGCCCATGAAAGCCTTGGGCCCCTCGTCGGCCCTGGGCCGTCTCAAACCTACGATTCTTTGCAAAACGAAAGGGCGAAACACTCTAGCTCAGCCCTCCCAACCTGCAGCTGCATGAAGTAACATGCCTAGTGGACGGTAAGGGCACAAGTTAGATAATGTTGCGCGCATCGCGTGCTCACTGTGCTACACACGCGTCAGAGTGCACAGCGTGCATGTTCAAGACACGGGGCGTCATGCTACAAAGTGCTGCACTCTGAAACCGCGCTCACGTGTCCCGAAAGAGCAGGATTCCTAGCTGTTGAAGTCCATGAAGCGAGGAGGAACGCGCGCTGGAAAAAAAGATAGCTGATGGCTGGCTAGCCAGTCCGCCAGGAAGTAGGCTGAGCAAGGCGTCGAAGGTCCCCCGTGGGCCCAGGAGAACCGACACCAGGCAGAAGGGCCTCGGCCGCTAGGCCTCGGCCAGAAAACAGAGCCCCTGAAGCCCAAGAGCCCAAGGCGCGAAGTCCAGCAAAAACGGGGGGCGGCGACGATGCGGCCACGGCGTTGTCTCACCTCGGATAGGTTGAGACAGCCTCAATTGGCATAGCAGGCCCTGTATCAGATTGCCCCAAAAGAACATCGAAGCCGTCGTTGGAGAGCTAAGATGGCGAGATAGGATAGCTGCAACTGCAATCTCCGGAGAAAAAGTAGTGATACGCATGCCCTTCAAAGTCCCATGCGGTTCAGCATATCTCTCGCACGCGCGCTGCCATGCCTGGCTGTTCGGCGTAGCCCTTGCACGTCTACTGCTGCATATCTCACATCTGGCGCGCGCTCGGTGGAGCCGATCCCTGCACGGGCTTGCCTCCCAAGTGAAGCAGTGCCACGTGGAAGCCCAGTCGAAACTGCTGGACCATGATCGGCTGGCGCTCATGCTGTTCCTGCGAGCCCTCCGCGTTCTGCCCACTCGCTTCGTTGATCTCGCCGATGAGACGTTCGTCCTGAAACGGGCTGGTTGCGAGCGCGTTGCACGTGATCTGCAGCTTGCACTTTTTCGGCTGGCGAAAGTGCGAGATGGCGTCTCCCACGTGCAGGCGCGACATCTCTTTCGCCAAAAAACGAATGAGCCGAGGGTCTCTTTCGATGGTCTCGGCAATTCCATCTGTACCGGGTCCTCTAAGACGATATGTATGCGCGGCTTGCCGAAGTCCTTCTCGCCTGCTTTCGCATTCTCCGCGTAGGCCGCCCCCATCTCCGCACCCTGATCCGTCGCTGCGTTCTGGGGGGCCAGGTAGAAGTCCCACACCGAGCCCGCCAAATTCCTCGACATCTGCACGGCGTCGAGGGCGGCGCGCTGGAGTGTCGTCACCTCGTCGCTCTCGGCTGGCAATCCAATCCCAGCAATGGCACGGCGCGGGGGGGGTCGGCACCTGGCGCCGCTCGTTGGCACGGCACACCTGGGGCAAGCGTTCGCGCGCATGGCGAGCGAGCATTCGTTGCGCAGCTGTCGAGCGAACGCGACGCGAGCGGTCAGGGCCCTCATAATAGAAAAAGGTAGCTCCGCACGCAGCGCCGTCGGCCACTTCACGCCTGCACAGAAACCCCCCCTCTCCCCCCCCCCCCCCACCCACCCACCCACCCACCCCACCCCGCACCCCACCCCACCCCACCCCACCCCCCCCTCGTCGCGCATGGCGCGCCCCGTGCCCGTCGCTCGTCGACGTGCACGCGTTCGAGCCAAGTGAGCAGCATGGGTCCATCAACCCTATGTTCCTTGAATGCCACCATTACTTGGCCCAGGGAGCGCTGCGCTCGCAAGTCTTGCCAGCGCGTCTAAACGGCGGCACTTGACGCAGTCATCCAAACTCGTGGCCCCGAAAACTCCCACGCGCACTTGCTCGCGATTCATGGGGACCCCGACGATTGTCCTGATCCACCTCAAACGTTGCAGCTGGAGCTCAACGGCAGCGGGCGATAATGTCCCAAGAGGTAAAGACCGTCCTGGGAGGCACGCTGCGGGTGCGGCCGCAATCTATCGCGACCGCCGCTCTGCCTTTCATCGGCCCCCGAAGCATGCTTGCGATCACGCTGTCCAATCGATCAGTGAACTCTCCAGGTAGCACAAACGATGGCAGTCCTGATATAGCTGCCGAATACTCAAAGCATAAAAAGGCATCTGACCTTGCCGATCGTGATTGGCCTGGCCCACTGCTAGGCCCGGCGGCGCAAGCTCGGGTAAGAATTGATAGTCAGCTGCCAGCTCTGTCCAGTCAACTGTTTTTTTTCTTCCAGCCCGCCGTCTTCAGCTTACTCAGCAAGTCCGTTTGTGGCGGTATGCAGGGTCGTTCTTTGCTTTGTCCTAAATATGTTGCACTTCTTCGGGCCTCGACCAGTTCCTGGTAGTGACGTCTTTAAACTACGAACTTGTGAACAATCGCACCTTTCCCGAGCTCTCGAAAGTTTTTTCAGCGGTCTCGGTGCGCCTCTCCATTGTGCGTCGCCGTCGTGCTGCTTGAAGCTCACGGGCAATGGCGCTTAATCGTTCACATGCTACATCGTACTCTGGTTGCTCAAGATTTGATAAGATAAATGCCTTTGTTGGGCCATGCCCCACCCTTCCACGTAAAACAGCTCTTCTCCGTGTTAGATCCATTCGTTCCTTGCGCATGTATTCGTACTTATGAGACCGGTGCTCGCCTGGGGGAAAAACCTTCGCTCGGTTTTTGTGAATACGTTCTCGCAATAAGTCCCAGCCAGCTTGCACGTCGCATCGGCCCCGCATTTCCCTCCAGGTATATCCGGGGATTCCTCGGCACGCCGTTCAATCTCCTTCAAGTAGTCTATGCGCAGGTGCCCTTGCACGCAGGCCCCCCTGAAAGAATCTCGGTTAACTCAAAAGGGATGAGATCCTTTGTGTCCCTGCTCCACGTGGATGTCTATATCGAGCACCAGCGGCACGTGATCCTGCGGCAGTGTGGTTTCCCGTCGATGTAGCCTTCGACCGAACTGGTTCAAGTGCGCATCGTGACGATCCTCTGCAAGCATGTCGTAGGCACGATATAATGGTCGATCTTGACGTGGCGCTGTGGTATGTTGGCCCTGCGTTCCAGAAGCTGCTGCCAACTGGCAGATTGTTCTCTTCAAGTGCGTCACGAATGCGTTGCGAAACTGCTGTCTCGATGCTTGGGTTCTGCAAGCCTACCATCTCATCAGATCGGTAATGTTTTTTGCCTGTAGTGTCTCGCCGTATGCCGCAGGAGCAGTTAAGGTCGCCACCCATGATGACCACGCACTGCTGTCCGAGCTTGTCAACCGCTTCTGTGAACCACGTCATACACTTGCCGACTGTTTTCAAAATGGGCGGCGCAATGCCCTGTGGCGGCAAGTAAAAGGAATGCCACTGTCGTCGTGGCGATACGAAACTTTGTCATGGCAATGCGGCTTGCTATCCCCTGCGACCTTGGTGGGAGCAGCGTTTGCTGCAAGGTGCCCCTGAGCGTGGTGCTGTACAGCTCTGCGACTCCACATGATCGATTTGTCCATCGGGAGTTGCGAAAGCCAAACTGCACGCATATGTGGTTGGGCAAGTTGGTCTGAACCATATGTTCGTCCTTCATGGCTGCACGCCCCGTCCCATTCAGCAATAAAATATCGATGGTCGGGGCGAGGGTCGATATCTCTTCCACTCGTGTGTAGTCCGCCCACTCCACATTTTGAGCGACAACTCGTAGTACCGTCAACAAGATTCCTGCGGGTGGAGGCAAGGGAGGGTAGGTACAGCAGGCCGACCTAGGCCTACCGCCCCGCATTGGATTGACCTCCACCCATGGGTTATACGGTGTGGCAGGTGTGGTGGGAGCTCCTGCTGTGCTGAGAGCCACAGAAGCTCCTGGAGGAGGAGGAGGAGGAGGAGGGGGAGGAGGACAACCTCTGGAAAGGCGAGCGACGAAAATGACGACCTGCCAGACCACCCC